CAAGTGTGTTACTACATGATACTTACATTTCGACTTTATTTCAAGCTACTTTCGAAGCCTAATTAACGAGCATCTTATGACCTATGCATGCTCAGTAACATTCAGGACGGAGAACGAACATAAAATAGTTTAAATCGCCCATTCCTGTCAAATTCTTTTCACTCAGTTTTTGACCTACCCAGAAACGCATAGCAAAAATGAAACCCATTTTTGTGATCCTTGTATGGACCCCTACAACAAGCAACAAACCATTTCCAAAAAGCGCCGACCTGAAAAACCTCCCTTGTTAGTTGCGATTGTGTACTTGAGGTCTAGAAAAAAGCCCACAGAACTAACCTAGAGTAGCTGAAAAAGGTTCTTGGGCATTATCATTCATACCAGTCGAATAACCCGGCTACCTCAGGGTGCTCAGGGTCCTTCTGTTTCACGGCCCGGTTCGCCGGGCCTGACCTGGCTTCGCCAGGCACTTTTCCCTTGGGCGAGGTAGAATGCGCTAAATGTGCCAAACGGTGGCAGTTATTTTTTTATTAAACTCCAGAAAAATGAGTTGAAAAAAGCTCAACATCAGTCATTATCTACCAACATCTGGTTACTTATGCTTACTACAGACTTTCAACCGTGAGAAGGCTGCACCATATCATTAAAGACCGTAGCTGCGACATCAAAATGGGTAAAGTTGATTTAGTCCGGATGAGTTCATAACACCCGACAGTTAGTATGGTGACCTCCCTTCTAACGCCTCTTATCGAATCTTATCAACTGATATCACTTCCTGTCACCCACCAATAGTGTTCCCGTCACACCCTACAACACTTCTTGAAATCAATGTCTCACTGCTATTGGGACGGGCGCTATGAATTTGACACACACACGAACACACACACACATACATAGCGGATTATATATAGAAGGATGAGGCCCATCTGTGTAAGGATACCATGAAGCAGATTCACGGAATCGATGTGAAATCTGCACTTGCAAACAACTAGTAAAAACAGAACACAAAAGACAAATCATCATAAGTATTGCTACTGTCATTGTGTTGATCATGAATTGTCATATGAAGAGCAGTTACTGTTGTGTTGCTTGCTTTTTTGTAAGGAGAAAATATAGGCACTATGTACCTTTTCAAGCCGTGGAAAAGGGAAATCAAGCAGAACACATTGAAAACATAATCATATTTATAGTATATCCAGGAAAAAACTCTTAAAACAAGACTCTTAAAACACGAACTGTAGGTAATACACAAATGCGCGGAGCGGGAGCATGTTTGTCAATTCTGACAAGTCATGCGGCGTTCAATGTGTTGTTAGGACTTTTCTGTAGGAGAAAAAGGTACTGGAAAAAGCAGGTGAAGCCGGAGGAAAAGCTAATAAGCCCTTGCAAAACTCTGTCTGCCTTCAAGAGAAACTCTGAGACATTTAAGAGGCGTCTTATGTAGGCAAACGGGATTTCGCGGATCTCCATGGCGGTGTTTGAAAAAAATTCGAACATTAATAGAAAAATACCTTGATCGATTCGCGAAGTATTTTCATCGGTATTCGGATCTCTTCTTTTTTCTCCATACCTATCCTCTTTTTCCTCGCCTTTTCTTGATCTTCCATTTCCAGCTGGAAAACAGTAATATTTCTGAAAGTGACCAGAATATCTATTTGACAGGGTCGACATTGGAGACATGAATCATCGACAAGCTAGGTCGCATTTCAAGTCTATATATATATAGGTCAAGGTGGGCGGGCGTCCTTGAATTTGTGAAGCTTGACTGTTTATACTCCTCCCTATATCCCCTTCCAAGTACCCACAACTACACGTCAGAGGTTCTTCTGACATTGCCTTAAAAAGCCCATGCTACCAGTTTGGAGCTCAGCCTTGGATTCCTAGTACACGCTGTTCAGGTTGTTAACGAAGCTTACCTGGTCCATGACTAATGGTTTCCTCGGATCCTGGAACTCATCCGGAGTGTTGTCAATCATTTCTCGGAGCCGTTTTTTCATCGCCTTTCGTCGTTTTGCCATCTCGTGTGCCTCCTTACCCATCAGTTTGACCCGCTGAATCGCTGAACGCCAGCTGAAATTTGGTCTGTTGGGAGAAACAAGCTATGTCCTGGAGATATTCAAAACTCAATGAAAAAACTGGAACGTGTCGTCTCAAGAAAGAGTTGAATCGGAGAATCCGCAGACACTTCATTGCTGGAGGCTCCTTTTAATGACTACCTTTCTGTTCCGCCGTCCTTACTCTTGAACTTGCGAATAGTCTTGGCAGTCTGCCGGACTACTTTGGAAAAAAACGAGTCGTCATCGGGCGAGGCGAGATTGTAGGAAGAGCGATTCACGATCTGAACATGGACTTCTGGGAGACTGTTGGAGAAGTCTTAAAGTTCTGACTAATTTGTTCTATGAGTAAAGCAGAGCAACTTCAGGAGGTGCTGGTCGCTCTCTGCTCTAGAGTGCTTCGAAAGATTTCAGCTTAATGATACATGATATTCGTGGGAGCTCCTTGACTAAAATGCTTCCCATTGGTGATGCTACTTTGGATGCGTTTTAGATCCTGGGAACGGAAAAAAGCGCCTGGCGCTGGCTGTTGAAGCGCAGTAGTTTTTGCGCTGAACTGTGTTTACATCATTCAGAGAGTAACGCTGCCCTTGGAAGGGGTGTCGCTTGTCAGCCCATGGTGTTCTGGCTTGTATGCTAGGCAGGATGACAATTCACTTTAGCAGGTGAAACTACCTCTGGAAACATATGGTCATGAAATTTGTGGAGGAGCACAAAGGAACGTGTGGAACTGCCATAATAGTTTTACTTTAGATAAAGCAAAAATCTCATGCCAGCAGAAATGTACCCTTTAATTACTTTATAAAGTACGTAACAAAAGCCTCAAAATCTGTTTTCAACTTGTCACCAAAAGACTTTCTTGATATGGAACCTTGCTCAATCGATTCCTCGTGGCCGATAACCCTATAATTGGGCACTCGAGCGATAACTAAGCTTCACTTTCATAACATATTTTTGAATAGAATTTCCTTGTTTGTACCAAAAGTATGTGGACACCTGAGAAAGTCCAAAGTTTGGCTCCAAATCTGTGATCCATTTTTATCGTCTCTACTCCCCATTGGATCTGTACTCATGCCTCGTCGTGGTGGAACTCTCTCCGAAGACGAATAAGCTCAGATTCGAGCTCTCAGTGCTGCTGGACACTCGAACAGAGAAATTGCCGACAGCAGCGGCGACGTGCGTTGTTAATTACCTCCAAAATAATTATGGCTACCGTTCAGCACCTATTTCGGGGCGCCCACGATCTTTGTCCGCAAAAGACATCAGAAGAATAGCGCGCATTGCCTCGAACTCCCCTTTTCTGTGAGAGACATCCATGCTGCAATGGATCTAGCGGTCTCAAAAATGACGATATGGCGCTATATTCGATCAAATGAGCACATCACCAGAGAGACGATGAGGGAAGCTCTTCGTTCGACTGCCCAACACAAGCTGGCGAGACTGAAACGCGTGCGACATGGCGATATCGTGCACATGGGGAAGTTTTTGAGAAATTTGTTATATCAGTAAGACAACTTTCTCATTCCTTTCCTAGGTTATCTTCAGTGATGAAAAAATGTTTAATCTCGACGGTCTAGGTCGGTTTGGGAGTATCGGTACTACTAAAAAGACCTTCGTCGCGATCCGTTGGTACTCTCAAAGCAAAATTTCGGATCTCTTTGATGGTATGGGGTGGTTTTGGAAGCAGCGGAAAGTTGGAGCTTGCCTTCCCATCGTGCCGTATGAACAGTCAGGAATACCAAGGAGTGCTTGAGTCTAACCTCTTGCCTTTTCTGAGTGGGCCACGACGCAGGACATACAGGGGGGGGGGCAAAAAAAAGTCATTTTGCCTCCATGACTTTGGCGCTATAAGTTACACTTTATTAAATTTTTATCGGACATTTTTACTACCATATTAAAGAGCACATTAAATACTATAATGATACTCCGCCACAGCCTTCTGGAGGAGCGCCATCGAGAGATTCGGCCGCGCGAAAGTGAGTGGGTACCGGAGTTGAGCGAGATCGTTGATTTCTCCGCCACTGTAGACCACCCTGTTGAGCTCCGCCCGAACCGAGTAATTGAGGGGGTTTAGTTCAGGACCCCCGCTTAAATACTCCATCTTTTCCAGGTACTCAACGTTCTTCCATTCCAAGTAGGCGAAAGTTTTCCCAACGCCCTTTGATTCCATA